GCTGGTGTGTAGAGAACGCAGTCTCTTGATTAGATTCATTTAAGTCACCAGGATCAATACCCAGTTGTGAAATAGCAGCACTTCACCCGAGCTTTACTATGGAGATACATTTTCTGACTTGATTTGATTGTGGCCCTTTGAGCTTATTTGGCCTATTGAGGAGACGATTGACTGTAGGGCTGCAGGGTTAATCACAAACAAATCCAATCGCAGTCTGTACGATGGCAATAAGCAGATGGCAAAAGCTGCAGTCATTCAGAAGATGTATTGCCCACTGCAAACAACCAAATATGCTGTTTCCATATTAGGGGTGTGCAAAAAAATCTAAATATTTATATAATGGGATACTATATTTGGTGATACAGTATCGATATCATGGCCTGCTATATCAATATATCGCCAAGAGGATTATTTGATATCTTTTTGGTATTTTTTGGTGACTGTATGACAATTTTGTTACTTATTCAGTGGAAGTTTATGTAATACACTTGATATAGCCGCAGTTAAAATTTTCAGATAGATGCATTTCATAGGAAGTGGTTTAACAAAGAAATATTGTTGCTTAAATGTGTTGGGTTCTTAAAAAAACACAATATGTTACAGAGTATCATGTGCAATATATAGAATATCGCATGTATCGCCATATCGTCATAATATCATATTGTAAGCCGTGTATCATATTGAATCGAATTGTGAGGGATCCTGTGATTGCCAGCCCTACTCCACTTTATGTTATATAATATTCTAACCCTGTATTTTAGACCTATGCGTGTTCTCTTTGGTCCCAACATAACAACAATCTTGTGAGAAAGCCTGTCCCTTCTTTCGCTCTCATACAAATTGTGTTTAAATTAACAGTCTTTTTGTTTATATTCATCTTCTCCTCTTCCCTCTAATGAAGTCACTGATGTCTGGCGGCACAATTTCCCATTTCCATGCATTTCTCCAAACTGGCCTCCACCCCCTCTCCATCTGTGCCACACGTTGTTGTTGCATGCACTCAAGCTCACATCCTGATGACTGCCAGGTGAGGGCCAAGTCTGCGTACACACCAGGTCTCTGTTGGCCAGTGGTGCCTATAGAATCATTGGTTTGTGTCAGACTTTGCCGGGGGGCGAGCTGTGGGTTTTTTCTGTTGTGTTTGTCGAATATGGGGAAGAATCCATGTATCATTCTTTCATTCGTTTTTCAAAATAAAACCAAAAATAAGAAAACAAAATGAAAAAACAACAATTTTCTTCATTATCTGTCTCCATAATCAAAAAAACAAAAAAAAAAAAAAAAACGATAACGATTTGTTTTTTCAGTTTCCGATTTTGTGTTTAAATGAATACTGTAAAAAAAACGAATACTGAACCAGGACTAAACCAGTCAGTCCCGGTCCCGGTCTCGGTCCCGGTCTCGGTCCCGGTCTCGGTCCCGGTCCCGGTCTCGGTCCCGGTCTCGGTCCCGGTCTCGGTCCCGGTCTTGGTCTCAGTTCTGATCACTCAACAGTCTACACAAATCGTTATCCGTTTTTTCATTTTGGTTTTGGACACAAATAATGAAGAAAGTAGTTGCTTTATTTCGTTTTCTTATTTTTGGTTTTATTTTGAAAAATGAAATGAACAAATGTTACACGGATTGAGAAGCTATCCATCGGCCGCAATAACATAGCATTTTGAAGTCCGATATGTAATTGAAGAAAATACAAAACAATAAATTAGTTTTGATATTATCATTTATGCTATTGACACATTAACCAAAGAGCAAATTTAAACCACAAAAACTTTTCTAAATGTGCAGTGTTGTTAAAAAAGAAAGAGCTGCAATTAATAAACTGCAAAATTAAACACTCGAGCACTTAGTTTGCATCTGTAATGAGTCATAAAAGTAATTTATCCAACCTTTTACAGCTCAAATATCATATAGTCAAAAAATAATAATAATAAAAATCCCAGTAATGCTAAGAAAATTTATACACGATAAGTACTGACCACAAAAAACGTTCCAGCTTTCATATACTGAGTGAAGTCTGTATAGTAATTATCGTGACAGGCCTAACTATCCACAATTTCTCAGGTCTTAAAAAGCATATTTATCACATTCTACCGAACATTTGACTCTTGTGTTAAAGGCATAATAGATGTCTTCTCTAGACCTGTCATAATAATTACTATATCAGCCTATCATTGAATATAAGAAAGCTGGAACTATATATTTTGGAGCTCAGTATTTACCGTGTACATTTTCTTTGCATTAGTGTTAGTTGTTCTTATTTTATTTGTAATGTGATAAGATTTGAGCTGTGGCAAGTTGCAGAAGTATCTTCTGTGGCTAATTATTGTTTCATTCTGCCATTTCCTTGCTGCAGCTCAGGTCTTTTAATGATACTGTCTATTTAGATAATGGTGTACTGGAATTGGTTTTATTTTTATTGTGTCAGTGACATAAAGTAGTTTCAGTATTATTGTTAATGGCATTATATATCTGTAGCGCTATAAATATCGTGCTTCGAGGTTTGTGACTGTGACAGGCCTGTTCCTCTTCTGGTTATATTTCCTTTTCATCAAGGTCTGTTTGTTCAATTATACAGTATTTGACATCATCTGAGTTACATGCTTGTGTGTACAACTCTAGACAGATAGATTTTTAACTCAGATGTCCTTCCAATGCCATACTTTTTCATTTGGACTTACAACAGTTGTGCCTTTTAGAAGCATTCATCGCAATTTCGTAAACAGACAAAATTGCAAAACTCACAGTATTTTTTGGGAACATATGGTTATTTGCAAGCAAAATCTCTCTGTGGGGTCATATTACTGAAATGCGATTGTTAGCTTAGCTGCTTATTTTCCAATTTTCTGTCAGATGGTAACATTATGAACATAGGTCTGTCACAATAACAAATTTTGCTGTATGATAAATTGTTGAAGTAAATATAGGCGATAATACTGAAACTAATTTATGCCACTGACATAATAATCCTAAAGCAGTCTTACACCACAAAAACTACTCTAAATGTACAATATTATAAAAAAAAACACAAAAAAAAACATGAGCAACAGTAAATAAATAGTAGAATCAAACAGTACTTAGTTTGCATCTGTAATGATTCATAGTCAAGTTAGTAATGTAACCATCTACAGCTCAGATCTTATCATATAGACAAAAAATAACCAGACATTTCTCAGTAATGCAAAGAAAATGTACACATGTTAAATACTGACCCCCAAAATATATTGTTCCAGCTTTCATGTATTGCACAATAAGTCGATATAGTGATTATCGTTACAGGTTTATATGCACTTTGATTTCAAAATCTCAAATGTAATCTCGATCGCTTGTCAAAAAAATCACAAAGCATTCTGTTTCGATAATGTCCTAGTTTTTTCCTGTAGGGCTCGTTTCTATGTGGAAGATAAACTGTTCTTTTTACACATCTCAAAGGGTCTCTGAGGTGCACTGTGAGCATAAAACTGATGATGGTGGATTCTATTTCAAAGAATTGGGTAGCTGCAGTGAGGAGCTACTCAATCACCAGGTTTTTGCAGGATGTTGTTCAGTAAAGATGTGAGATTATGGAAAAGAGAATACTAATTGCCATCTCTCTATTTTGTAAGGATTGAGATTAGATTTGCCATATATTTGGGTTGGATGAGACAAGACACAAGGTTAGGTCCATGAGAACAGGATGAGATTTTGAAAGTATTCCTGTATATTTAAAGATTCAGTTTTCAATATTGACTTCACAATTTTTTATTTATTTGATTTTATATTCTTGTTTCTGTACTAATACTGCTTTTTGGAACTATAAGACTATCTATAAGAGTCAGACTGACTAACTGTAAGAGTTGTAACATGTGAGACTTTGTCTGCATTTGGATTGAACAAAAATGGTCACAAGAACGTATTCGCCATGTGTGTACATTCTTGTGTCAGATTTGTCTTGCAAAATCTTGTGGCGTAAGATCTTAAAACATCCCTAGAGATGTTTCGTTTTAGCAGATGTTTGTAGAGATCTAAAATAATTAGTACAGGATTTTTCTATAAAAAATATGTTCTATTATCTATCCGTTGAGATTTCATAATTGTGCCAACTCAAATTATTTTTTTGGTTTAACTGTGATACACTAGGCAGCTCTATTGTACTGTGAATTATCTTCTGAGAAAACTTCCATGTTCTACAGTGCCTGACCAGATGCAGATAACCACTGGCTCCCTCTGGTCCTCCCCCACTGGTTCCCTGTGGTGTTGCCCCGGTCAGTAGCCCTTGGTGTGGCCTGGGACATCTCAAATAAGAGCTCCCACTGCAGGGCCCACCTCCGCTGCTGCGGGCATCCACAGACAGGAAACTGTAATTAGGACAAGAGTCGAGACCTCCCCCCTTCGCCCCGTTCTCTGGAGAAACGCTCCCAGATTGAGAGCCAGAACTTATAATTACCTGCGGTCGTAACTATTGCCCCCAAGTCCCCATTTATTCACGTTAATTGCACCAGCCATCAGTTATAAAATCCACTGGTACACTGTAAAACTCTTGTGTTGATTCTACAGTGTTTTAATAGAGTTGTATTTTAATAGAGTTGTATTTTTAATTTGAATACATAAAGTTGTTTGTGCAGATGGGTTTGAGTTCAGATCATTGTAGCAGTATTACAGCTGTGCCCACACACACGCACGCACACATACACACACACAGAGATACACACAGAGATACACAGAAGAGCAGAAGCATCAGTCAAAGCCCGTATTTTTTTAAAGCTTGAAATAAATGTGTTTCTTTAATAATTTAGAATTGGTTATACGCCTGGGTGATTTATCTTTTCAAGTTAAAGCTGACTCTGTTGTTGCAGTGAAATTTCAGAATATGGGAAAGTTGTAAATTTGGTTTTCCACAGTTAATAGTTTCGCTCTGTAAAAATTCTCAGTAAAATTGAAAACAGACAGGATCTTCTCTACAGGAGGTGTTTCAGCCGCACGTCTCCCAGCTTTACTAATTTGCTGCGTTCTTGTGTCCTCAGGGTGCTGTTAAATCCTGGGCCAGACGGACATGAAGGAATAATCTTGGTTTGGTGAGTTGTTTGTTTAGCTGTCATTCGGAGCTTTGTTTATTTTCGAAGCCTCACTCTGAGCTATGTCCTCTCTCTTCCAGGCCCAGGACTGACCTGAGGGCTGTGGCCTGGGACACTGGTGTTTGGGCCTGTGCATGTAAGCCTGTGATGAAGTCCAACATGAGGCAGTGGCGGCGGATGGTGCTGGCGGCCATGTTGGCGTGGGTGCTCCTCTTCCTGGGCCTGCTCTCGTACTTCCTGGACGCTCGGGTGGGGGAGCCGCTGACCTCTGCTGGCTCTTTACTGTCACAGCACCCCGACATCCGCCGCTTGGCCTCTATACAGGCCGCCATCACAGGCTTCAGACCTGAGCCCGTCACTGTGACCGCTCCGTACCAGGGAGAAGAGGCCAGACCAGGACCAGGCAACAGCTCCCCCACACCTGAGTCGAGTGTGGAGGGAACGCACACCCCCAACAGCGCCCCCTATGGAAGCCAAGAGGTCAGTCAACAGGATTATCTTGACCCCCAAAGTCTGGCTGCATGGTCCTCGTTTGGCACAGAGAACGTGGATGGTCCTGGAGCACACAGTCGAGACAGGACCTCCCAACAGAACATGGACTATCAGAACAATGTTAGCAACGTCCCCGAGGAAGAGGAGGAGGACGAAGACCTTGACAACAGACTGAGGGCCACAGCACGCCGAAGGTCTGGTGGAGACTCCAGAGATTTGGAAGAGTATTACTTCTCCAAGTCATACTCAGTGGTGCAGCGTTTGTGGAGGGGCAAAGTGTCTTCTGGGATGTTGAGTCCTCGTCTGCAGCGTGCCATGAAAGACTATGTGAGCTCCAACAAGCACCATGTCGTGTACAAGGGAGAGCGCCGACCAGCCCAGAGCCCCAAAGAACTGCTCTGTCAGATCAAGAGCCAGGCCAAGCTCGCCACTGTGGATGGGTCAGAGGAGCCCTTCAGGTCTCTGGGATGGGAGCGTCTGGTGCCCTCCCTGCCTCTGGAGCAGTTGCACAGACGTGGAGGTCCGGACTCTTTTAAAACCTGTGCTGTGGTCACCTCCGCTGGTGCCATCCTGCGCTCAGGTCTCGGCAAGGAGATTGGTAAGTCAAATGTGCTAAAATAATTCATAATTAATATACAGTGTAATTAGGTCACTTTCTGACTGTTTGTCCATGCATTATTTAGGATTGCACACAGATATACTAGTATATGTATCCACATTCATCAGGTTTGCAGCATTTTTCATTGTTCACATATTTCCTCATAAACAAATGCAGTGCTCTCGACAGTCATAAGTGTTAAAAGAGCGCTACTCTGAAAATGTGTTTGTTTTCTCTAGGGAATATATTATACCCAGTTATTAGGCAAGTGCTGTGTGCAGAATTATAAAACAGCTAACACCAATGAAAATCTTTATCACACACAGAGCTTGCCTTCTGAGACACATGTAGGTCATATTTGGGATGGACATAGTCTGTTGTGATTGGCATTGAATAACGAGATGCTCTTCAAAACACAATGCTCAGTTATTCAGGTTTAGGCAAGGCAAAGTTTATTTCTATAGCACAAGCCTTTCACAAATTAATTCGAAATGCTTTACAGAATAAGAAAGACATTAAAATCACAATACAAACAAATCAAAACATAAATTAACCTTAAAAAGATGGCTTTTGAAATAGCCCTACTATACAAATCTAAGGTCACTTTTATGCATCACAACACCACAAACTGTACTACTGGTAGTGCTGGTATATTGCTGCAGTTGCCCCATCTGTTTCACATTGGGTCCTGGAGGTCAGAGGGCACCAGTCTAACCAGGAAATGCTCCATGACTACATACTGTTTGGTGCCAGTTGGATAACATCTTCATATCATAACAAACATAACAAAACATTTGGCTAAATCAACAAATGGTGTTCTAAGGAAACTAATAATCATGGAAGAAATTACTATCCTGTTATTATTAGGCCAATTATACTAAACTCGCATATGCAAATGAAATAATTACTTAATCATCCAGTACAGTGGTTAACTAAAGTAAATGAATGTATAATGTGGTAGTTGGCAATATGCCAAAAAATAAAAAGACAGCTGGCAAACTTGATCTTTACTGGTCTTTTAGAGAAGTTTTTATCTCACATTTGGTGAAACTCACCTAGACATGAGAGCAGTGTCTGCATTTATGGATTCACACTAGAATATTTCTATCCTTGGCTATATTACACGCACTTTTGAAATGTTCACAACAAAAATACACAAATTGGAAGTTGTCTTGTTTAACAACTTTTTTCACACCTCAGTAAAAGTTTAGCCCAGTTTGTATTTCTCTTCACAGTTTCAGTTTGATGTGTTTCAACTCTGATAATGGAAACTAGGGGTGTGCAAAAATATGGAAATATTGATATATTGTGATAATTCATTTGGTGATACAGTATTGATATCATGGGCTGCTGTATCAATATATTGCCAAGAGTATTTTTTGGTATCTTTTAGTAATTTATTTTGTTACCTCATTACAGTTTTGTTGCTTATTTAGTGGAAGGAAACTTGTATAGTGATTGATTGTTTGGTTATTAAAACGGATGTATTTTATTATAACTTTGCACAGGTCAAAGGTTTAACAAAGAAATATTGTTGCTAAAATGAATTTGCTTAAAAACAACAATATATCACACTCACCAGTATCATGTGCAATATATTGATTATCATATGTATTGCTGTATCGTGATAATATCAAATCATGATCCATGTATCTTATCGAATCGTGAGGGACCCTGTGATTCCAAGGAATAATGGAAACCTTGTAGTAAAACTGACAATCCAAATTTGTGAACTGTGACTGTTTCATACTTGACAAATATGGTTAAAGATTCGATGATGTGATACATTTTATCTTAATATGATCTGGTTGTATGATTGAATGTGTTCTGGTCGAGGCCGAGTTGTTCTGAAAATTTTGCTTAGATATAAATATATAATATTATGCTGATATAAATACAGGTATATATGTATATGTATATATACTGTATAAATATATAAAAAAACTAAAACAAGAACGTATCAGTGGCCCTTATATTGTGTACATTGTGTTGCTGCATTGGGTGTGCACTTAGCTTGGCAGTTCTTTGGCGAGTGGGGAGTGTGTGAACTCAGTGACAGATGGCTTGGTAGTGAAAAGCAGAACCCCCTCTGGTAACCAATCAGGCTCCTTCACATCGCATAGAGCTTTCTTGCATTGTCGTGTGAATTGCACTGCTCAGAGCAAGTGAGAGGTATTTTATAAAGAACAGCTTCGTGTATTATATTGCGATGGCACGATGGCCTTGTATATTCCTCGATGTGGGCCTGATTTGTGTCCGTTAGACAAGATGCAATGTCAGGGAAAGTGTTAGAAGCTCGAAGGTTCAAAATCTCTGCTGGATAAGTTCCCCGTTGAGAAAGATATGTGAGCATTATAAGGTCAGCTGTATTTATAAGGAAGTGGCTGTAGCTGTAATACTTTGTGGAACATATCCACAAAGCTGTTGGTCTAGAGTTACAAGCTGTTAATTGGCAATATACCACAATCCTTTTGACATTCAGACCTAATATTGCATCATAAAATTGTAATACTATGGGTTAAGTGTGGTTTCCAAACAGTGGGTCTGTTCATTTCCTCATTGTGCGTATTTAAAAGAACATTTTGTGTAGATTTCATGAGATAATGAGATTTCTTTTTTATCTTAGCTAAATGTTTCCAGTAGAGTTTATGTGAGGTACTTGGCACAATAGCTAATTAGCAGCAGACCTCATGTATAAGAATTTACTTTTACTATTACATTTTTTAGGTATAGAGGTACAGAGCTAAATTCAACAATTTACTGACATAATGTGTAACAGAGGTAAGGGATATTTGGGAAAATGTATAAAATTGCAAATTGCTTGTCTTGGAGATGTGCAAAATTGCATTGACTTTTATTGACATTTTATGCAGCTCTTGAACCTGCATAGTGTAACTTTTCTGGTGAAGGGTCCCTCAAATGCTTTTAACCATGGAGATGTTGCTGCTTTTGTCTGGAATGTTCCACAGCATGGTATTTAACCTTTGTTTCTTTATGGAGACCAAACCAGACCAAGTTACAGGTCAGATCTGTGGAGAGACAACACTGCTCACTGTCAGAATGCCTGTTTTTCTAGGTATTTTGGAGCTATAAAACCACCTGTAATTTCATAAATGTAAGGTAGAGCAATGACATATCCATAGAAACAAGCAGTTGATGGACCCTCAACCAGAAAGTTGCGTTGATATCGGAGCAAAAAAACCTCAAGTACAAGTTAAAAAGTATCACATGAAAAAATCTAGTAAAAAATATTAAAGTGCCTGTTTAAATCTGTACTTAAAGAGTAAAAACAAAAATTACTTTGCGCTGATTTTGAGGTTTCAAATTTAGCAATGTTGATAAAGATTTGTGCTGAATTTTGTCCAACAGAAACAACTGAATCAATTGTTTTTTCTGTTTTTGCTCAAACTGAGAATGAGCTGAAAATAACCCTCCAGCCTTTTCAGCAGCAACGTAGTGGTAATAATTATGGATCAAATAACTGTCCTGATATTATTAGGGCATATTATACTAAAACTCAGTCAATGCAAACCATTTAATCACACAATATAATGGTTAAGTAAAGTAAATGCATGAGTAATTTGGTTGTTGTGGTAGTCAAGCCAAATAATATGCCAAAAAATAAAGACCATCAAGGCACACTTCATGCTGTAAATTAGATAATACCCAGATTTGAACTTGATCTAGATGAGGAATTAATGCTTCTGTCATGAAACCAACTGGTCTTTATCTCACATTTAGTGAAACTCAGCTCAACATGAGAGTAGTGTCTTCATTTATGGATTCACACACAATATTTCTGTCCTTGGCTATATTATTCACACTTGAAATACAAACTGCAAATGTGTTGAAAATGAACCCTCAGCTTTTTCAGCAGGTCTCGGGCAATAATAAAATTTTTTTTAACTTTTCAGTTCTATTCAGAAATGTAGCGGAGTGAAAAGTACATATACTTGTTCTCAAATATAGTGAAGACAAAGTAAAAAGTAAATTCAACCACTTTGTTTACCAGATTTTGGACAGATTGTCTGATATACAAAAACAAAACATCTAAATTCTATTTTTGTCCATATGACTGAATGAATGTGCTGTAGAAGGGAAATTCTCAGTTCTGTTTTGTAAAAGGCGAGTTCCTGCAATCCAAAGAGACAATGCTTCTATCTTGTTCAGCTTTTTGTGAGCAAACAAAGAACAGAACTTTAATTTCGGTCCATGTGGAAGTGTGATATGAACCTGAAAGATCCTATATCATGCAAAATTGATTCTTGTGAGCTTTAAGCAAACTTAGAATGTTGTTACCTCAACACATACCTGGAGTTGTGTTTCGTTTTATTCACACATGTTTGAGTAATGTTCTGTCTACATCTCCAAAGCTCAAAATGCTCTGTTCCACATTGTGATGACATGCAGTGTTAGTTTTCAAGTCAATATTTTACTTTTAGTTCAGTCACAATGGGAAATTCTAAGGCTGAAATCATCCAAATAATTCTAGTGAGTGTTTTCTGTTTGAGAGAAGAACTCCTCTAAAATATGCATGGTTTGTGTGTTAAACATGAATGAAACAAAACAAAACTCCAGATATGTTTGTGATGAGGAAGCTACATTATAACATAGATCAGAAAATACCATAATATGGGCTTTTTAAATGCAGGGCTCTTTAAGTACAGTTGACAGGTGTTTCCAAATATCTCCCCATGCGTCACACACTGTCCCTATCAATGTTTGCATTTTGATTTCAGTCCAGTATCATAAAATAAACACATTACATTAACAAACCTAAGACTGCACTACGATATTTAGTAGTGGGAAGTAAATATATGTAACAAAACTATGTAAAACCCCCAGAACTATTCAGAATAGTTACTTCTCAAAAAATTTAAGAAGGAACACAGTGTCCTATGTCATCAGGCAATTTAGGCTTCACACTGCTCAGTATTGGTGAGCAAGAAAGAAAATACAGCTCTTGTGGCGTGTATGTCCTTTCCTTCTGTAATTAAGGA